CCAAGTAGCTGGGACTACAGGCGCCCGCCACAACGCCTGGCCATTTTTTGGTTGCAGCCATCATTGTTGTTTGGCAGGCCCAGGCTGAGGATTCGAACCCGCCACCTTAGGTGTATGTGGCTGGCGCCTTAGCTGCTTGAGCCACAGGCGCCTAGCCTAGTGTGCCTTCTTGAGAAAAAATAAATATAAGAGTGTCTTATTTTCAGGGAAACGTGGTACAGAGGAATTCAATGAGGTGTCCCAAAACCATATTGTTTGGAGAGAGAGAAGGCAGTCATAATTAGGGTGAGGTTACAGGCTCCATCCCCATCCCACTGGAGGTGGGAGCACTCAGTTCCTGAGAGTCCTCCCATCAGCCTTGCACCCATGAACTGTAGATATAAACAAAGCTAGTGTTCTCGCTATGAAAATGCAACTTGCAGATAGGCCCTCTTCCAGTCTGATTTTCTTCCCTCTACCCAACCCTCCAAAGTAGAAATCCTAGAGCAGTGACTTTCAACCAGTGTGCTGTGGCCCACTAGTGTGCTGTGAGAGGATCTTAGGGGTGCCATGAGATGTCTTCCTGTTAATAAGAATGGGACACAGGACTAGAGAACATGCAGGGTTTCCTCTGACCTTGTAAACTCCATTCAGTGGTTGTGTTCCTACCCCAAGGGCAGTGGGGTGTCCCTGAATGCTTTCTAAGCAGGAGAGTGACCTGAACATTTTCCTGCTTCTTGTTTTCATCTGCAAGGGAACCAGTAAAAAATGTGGGGCTTGCCTCTAATGAGCCTACTGACTGGGAACTAGGAAAAAAGGATACTTCCTCAGTTAGTTGAGCAAGTATTTCTTATTTAGGAATTCTTCAGCCAGAATTTTGAATGTGGGAGATCAATGGTAGCATGTGGGTTGACTTGTTTATTTTCTCTCACCCTCTTCAGAACATCTCTAAACCATCACCTGGACCTGATCAGTCCCAGTCCTTGACTGCATTGGGAACCACTGCACCCAGCAGCACCCAGCCGGCCACGACTTTCATCTCCTCAGCCACCCAGCAGGTCTGTTTGGATTCTTCAGCTGCTCGACATAAGATAGCTTTAAATCCTCGGAAGCAAAAGAAGAAAAAACACTCTCACACGACTGTAAGTCCTTCAAGAGACCCAGGAATAGGCTCACACCTGTAATCCTAGTACTTGGAAGGCCTGAGCTCATGGGTTCGAGACCAGCCTGAGCAAGAGCAAGACCCTGTCTCTAAAACTAGCTGGGTGTTGTCGTGCCTGTAGTCCCAGCTACTCAGGAGGCTGAGGCAAGAGAATCACTTGAGCCCAAGAGTTTGAGGTTGCTGAGAGCTGTGATGCCAGGGCACTCTACCAAGGCTGACAAAGAGAGACTCTCAAAAAAAAAAAAAAAAAAA